TCGGCCTCGCCACTTTGACTGGAGTCGATGGTGGAGATGGTGAGCTTCCCGCTCGCCAGGTGTTCGTCAGCAAGTTGCCGCAGCCCGGGAAAGTTCAGGGAGATGCCTGTGAGTTCGGTGCTGCGCTGCACGAAGACCCTACTGTGGTCGCGGGCGCAGGAGGCACGGTCCGATGGGGGGGATGAGGGCCCGCAATCTGGAGCCGCCCCGTCCTTCCCTTTCCCTTTGCCCTTGGTCTTGGCCTGCCTGAGGGTGCCACTGATGCTGTTCGCGCTCTGGGGCCACCCCTTTTCGAGGACGGCGCACTGTAGCTGGTATCCGACCACCACCCGCACCGAGGTGCCACTCCGCATGGCGGGCAGGAGGGCGCGCACGATGTCCACTGTCTGAACGGCCTGTGGCAGGTTGCCGTAGCCTGCGTGAAGCCGCGAGGTGACTTCCAGGGAAGGGTTGTCCACCAGGAGGAAGCGGTGCCGCTCCTCCTTGCATTGGTTCGCCGGCATCAGACCGCGCAGCGTTTTCTCTATGTTGTCCTTGGTGGTGGCCGCCGCCGTAGCTAGCTCCCCAGCTCTGGTGTCGTCCTTGGGGAGAACTTCCCGCCATGGGAGCCCTTCGACCAGGGGCCGCTGAGTCAGGGGGTCGGTGAGGCCAGAGTGCATAGCATTGTTGTAGAAGGCGAAATTTGGCCATGTCAGGAGCAGGGGATGCATGCGGCAGCAGAGGCTGAGCTGCACCACCGCCGATTGGTCATCCTCTAGGGCGTGGTGAAGACGGTCAAAGAAGGAGAGGCATAGCCCCTGGTCTGCTGCCTTCCTTGAGATGACTGTGGGGGGGGAGCTGCTTGGGGTCGCCGACCAGCACCGGGTGTCCGCCTGAGCGAATGACGCTGTCGACGGACATGGCGGCCATGAGTTCGTGTGCTTGCCCAGCCTCATCTATGATGAGTAAGGCAACCTGGGCAGCTTTCCTTAGCGCCTCCGCAGATTCATGCGTGGCAACGATTGTCCTGGCGTCCTTGAGAAGCTGGGTCCGGAAGGCGGGAAAGTCCTTGGAGGGCCCGCCCTCGTATGGGAACCTGCGAAGCGTCTAGAAAACCACCACCACCACCGCCGCCACCGCCGCCGCCACCACCACCACCACCACCGCTACCACCACCACCTCCCGTCCCCCCTCTCTCTCTCTCTCTCTCACAGGAAAGAGAAGGGGAATAGGAGGGTGGAGGAGGGACGGGGATGGAGGTGGAGGTGGAGGTGGAGGTGGAGGTGGAGGTGGTGGTGGTGGTGGTGGTGGTGGTGGTGGTGGTGGTGGTGGTGGTGGTGGTGGTGGTGGTGGTGGTGGTGGTGGTGGTGGTGGTGGTTGTGGTCGAGGTGGTGGTGGTGGTGGTGGTGGTGGTGGTGGTGGTGGTGGTGGTGGTGGTAGAGGTGTCGGTGGTGGTGGTGGTAGGGTGGTGGCGGTGGTGGTGGTGTTGTTGTTGGTGGTGGTGGTGGTGATGGTGATGGTGGTGTATACTCTTGGGGCCCGCAATGAAACCAAAATTGGTGCTGGAATGGCCTGAGCCCAAACGGCGACGGAACCCGCATCCTCCCCTCTCCCTTGTCCCCTGGAGACCACCCGAAAGCGAGGCCCGAGCAAATGGGATCGGAGGATCGCGCATCGCCGATGACCAGGGCGACGGCGGGGCGAAGAAAAACGGGCCTCAGATCGCGCCGCGTCGCCGATACGGCGCGAACCTCCGACCCCAGCTGCTCCAGCCCCATTTGCGCGGGCAATGTTTGTATCCATACCCACGGCGTCGTGGAGCTTCGTGTTCCCTTCCCCAGAAACCAGTAGGAGCAGTGGATCGGAAAAAAGTCAGGCCCCATAGAAGCTAGATTTTTACCTAACAGCTTTTGCTGATAGGTTTCTAGTGGTCTCAAAAGAGAGCAGCAGATGACTCCACAGGGGGGTCTGGGCGGGACCCGGATCGGCTGCCGCCGCGGCTGCCGCCGAAGCCCAAATCGCTTGGGACATCCTCGCAAAATCGCTCTTGGCGCTCCCAGAACTCCATTCCCGGGCCACATTTTGAATGCCCGGAGCCAACTGTAGGCCACTTCGTGCTCTTCGAGTTCCCAGAACTCCATTCCCGGGCCACATTTTGGATGCCCGGAGCCAACTGTAGGCCACTTCGTGGTCTTCGAGTTCCCAGAACTCCATTCCCGGGCCACATTTTGGATGCCCGGAGCCAACTGTAGGCCACTTCGTGGTCTTCGAGTTCCCAGAACTCCATTCCTGGGCATGATTTTGAATGCCCGGAGCCAACTGTAGGCCACTTCGTGTTCTTCGAGTTCCCAGAACTCCATTCCCGGGCCACATTTTGAATGCTGAGGCAGGCTGATGCTGAGGCTGAGGCAGGCTGAGGATGAGGCAGGCTGAGGCTGAGGCCGAGGCTGAAGGCAGACTGAGGCTGAGGCTGAAGCAGGCTGAGGCTGAGGCTGAGGCAGGCTGAGGCTGAGGCTGAGGCAGGCTGATGCTGAGGCAGGCTGAGGCTGAGGCTGAGGCTGATGCAGGCTGAGGCTGAGGCAGGCTGAGGCTGAGGCCGAGGCTGAAGGCAGACTGAGGCTGAGGCTGAAGCAGGCTGAGGCTGAGGCTGAGGCAGGCTGAGGCTGAGGCTGAGGCAGGCTGAGGCTGAGGCTGAGGCAGGCTGAGGCTGAGGCTGTGACTGTGACTGCCGTTGCCACTGCGACTGTCATCGCGAATGCGACTACGACTGCGAGAACAGCATAATTATACAACTGGATTCTCATCTGAATCGTAAGGGGAATGCTTCCAGATATGCTCCTACACATCGCTGTTAGGTTGCTTTGCCGGGATAATTACTTATATCCACTGCGCCTCTGCCTGTGGGCGCCCCTTCCAAGGCAGTCCACGACGCAGTGGATAGGGAAATAAATATTGCACACAATTTGGGAGGTCTACGTGTCCTCTCAGTGGCGGCGACAGAGGGGGATTGGCCCAGGCGGGCCAACCCTCCGTCCTCTCAGTGGAGGTGCGCGGGCCCTCCGTTCTCAGACGAAGGAAAGATGGCATACGTAAGCATTTAAACTGTTGGAGGTCCGAGCAGACTTCTGGGTTCGGCGCTGGACACCCCTCCATGGGGCGCCAGGGGCGGCGCCGGCGGCGCCGCCAAAAGGTCCGCCGCAGGTCCAAGAAATCCGCGCGGACCTTCGAAATATTGTGTTACTCCAGATTTGCCTGCTTCGAGCTCTGGAGACACTGGGTCCTCCAAAACCCGGGCTGGCGGTTGTGCGGATCTGGCCCGAAACCGAATCGGCTCGGCCACGCCAATTTGCAAAAAACAATCCCATGCAAACATCGGGCCGCAACTGATCGCCGGAATGTCGGGATCGAATCCGATCGATGGGCTCGAAGTGGGCCCTCAGATTTGGCGGCCCTGAGCCCTCGAACGAAACGGCACGAGAAGGGGAGGGGGGTGGAAGAGACGGAGCGGGAGGACGAGGAGAAGAAGGAGGGGGGGAGGGGGGAGCAGGAGGGGAGAGGAGTAGTAGGAGGAGGGCGGACGAGGAGGAGGAGGAGGAGGAGGAGGAGGAGGAGGAGGATGGAAGCAGAGTAGGCATACGAGGAAAGAGGGAGGAGGAGAGATGGGGGGGAGGAGGAGGTAGGAGGTAAGAGGTAGGAGGTAGGAGGTAGGAGGAGGACGAGGAGAATGGGGGAGGGGGGGGAGCGAGCAGGAGGGGAGAGAAGGAGGGAGGACGAATAGTGAGGAGGAGGAGGACGAAGAGGAGGAGGAAGAGGAGGAGGAAGAGGAGGAAGAGGAGGAGGGAGGAGGGAGGAGGACGAAGAGTAGAAAGAAGAGGAAAGAGGGAGGAGGAGAGATGGAGGGAAGGAGGTAGGAGGTAGGAGGAGCGAGGAGGAGGAGGAGGAGGAGGAGGAGGACGAGGAGGCTGATTAAGAGAAGATTGTCGACCAGGCTGCAAATCCAACATATATGCAAGTGGCACAACATGACAGAAACGATCCCCTGTGGCGCTTGGAGAACTGTTGCTGCTGAGGGACACTAGGAGTTCCATCAGGTCAATAGGCCTTTCCATTCTTGGACGGCCCTTACCTAAGGCCTCCTTACCCACTAGGATGGGTGTACCCCCCCCCCGACCAAGCCTGCCCCCAGCTTTCCGCTAATAGGCGCCTTGGACCCCAGGGAACCACGAATCCGACAATATTTTTGCATGTACTTCATGGCAGCATTATTTTTGTTTGAGAGGGAGGGCATGATGTGAGGCATGGACCCCTTTCCCTTGGACCTTAAACTGGAGGGCCATTTCACGGGCTTTCACTTTCCGCCCTTATTTTGTGGACGTCCGCCCTACTTTGTGGGCCGTTCGTGGACATGTCCACAAGGCTGCTGAATGTTCCACAAAGATGCGGAAACAAAAATAGAGCGGAACTATCCGCGTTACTTTTGGCAATGTCCGCCCTATTTGTTTGCATCCTACGGGATGCATTTCCGACACACATTTAAATCGGATGATAAACCAAAATACTGCAAATCCGGAGTCAGGGGAGGAGGAGGAACAGAAAAACCAAAGGTGCATGGGCGATGCTGCAAACCACAATACCTTTGCGGATCTATCCGCCTTACTTTTCTGAGACGGAAACTTCCGCCCTACATCTTCGCTTCGTTTGGGGTGCACTTCCTGAGTCGGAAGAGGCCTCGAGAGGCCCTCCTCGGCGAAAGGTCACTCTGGCGAGGGCTCGGAAAGCCCTCCGCTCTGGAGGCCATGAAACTCGGGCTCGGGGACGTAATACCCGGGTTCGGGGCACTCGGCCTGGCCCGACGGGGCCGTCAGGAAAACGACGAGACCCACTCTGAATTTTGACGCGAACTCCCGTTGCAAACATCCCAAGAAAACTGGACCGTCAAATCCTGGAAGGGCGTCGTCAAACCCGAGTTCCGGCGCATTCGAGTCTTACCCAAGAGATGGCCTCGGAGGAAGGCCCTCCGCTCTCGAAGCCACTGCGGCAAAAGGTCACTCCGGCGAAGCCTCGCAAGGCCCTCCGCACTGGAGGGGGGCCGGGAAAGCACGCGGCCGTCTTCCTCTGCAGCTCGCCCGCGATCGAGCCCATGTTGCTCGAGCAGAGCGCCGCGCACAACGTCGCGCATCGCCCGCCGTCGTCGTCGTCGTCGTCGTCGTCGTCGTCGTCGTCGTCGCCGTCGTCGTCGTCGTCGTCGTCGTCGTCGTCGTCGTCGTCGTCGCCGCCGCCGCCGTCGTCGTCGTCGCCGCCGCCGTCGTCGTCGTCGTCGTCGTCGCCGTCGCCGCCGCCGCCGCCGCCGCCGCCGCCGTCGTCGTCGTCGTCGTCGTCGTCGTCGTCGTCGTCGTCGTCGTCATCGTTGTCGTCGTCGTCGTCGTCGTCGTCGTCGTCGTCGTCGTCGTCGTCGTCGTCGTCGTCGTCGTCGTCTGTCGTCGTCGTCGTCGTCGTCGTCGTCGTCGTCGTCGTCGTCGCCGTCGCCGTCGTCTGTCGGTCGCCGCACGTCCGCCGCCGCCGCCGCCGCCGTCGTCGTCGTCGCCGACGCCGCCGCCGCCGCCGCCGCCGCCGCCGCGCCGTCGTCGCCGCGCCGCCGGCCGCCGCCGCCGCCGCCGTCCGTCGCTCGTTCTGTGTAGTCGTCGGTCGTCGTCGTCGTCGTCGTCGTCCGCCGTCGCCGCCGCCGTCGCCGTCTCGTGCGCCGCCGCCGCAGCCGCCGCCGCCGCCGCCGCCGGTCGCCGTCGTCGTCGTCGTCGCCGCCGCTCCGGCCGCCGCCGCCCGTCGGTCGTCGTCGTCGTCGCCGCCGCCGTCGTCGTCGCCGCCGCACGCCGCCGCCGCCGCCGTCGTCGTCGTCGTCGCCGCCGCCGCCGCCGCCGTCGTCGTCGTCGTCGCCGGGCGCGGGGGCGCGGGCAGAGGGCCGGGCGCACGCGGGGCTCCCGCCCGCAGACCAGGCGAACCTGCAGGGAGGGGGCGGGGGGCGGGGGGAGGTCGGCGGGGGCCAGGAGGAGGAAGAGGAGGAGGAGGAGCAGGAGGAGGAGCAGGAGAAGGAGGAGGAGGAGGAGGAGAGGAGGAGGGGGAGGAGGGGGGAGGAGGAGGAGGAGGAGGAGGGAGGAGGAGGAGGAGGAGGAGGAGGAGGCGGAGGAGGAGGAGGAGGAGGAGGAGGAGGAGGAGGAGGAGGAGGAGGAGGAGGGGAGGAGGAGGAGGAGGAGGAGGAGGAGGAGGAGGAGGAGGAGGAGAGGAGGAGGAGGAGGAGGAGGAGGAGGAGGGTGGGGGGGAGGAGGAGGAGGAGGAGGAGGAGGAGGAGGAGGAGGAGGAGGAGGAGGAGGAGGAGGAGGAGGAGGAGGAGGAGGAGGAGGAGGAAGGAGGAGGAGGAGGAGGAGGAGGAGGAGGAGGGGTAGGAGGAGGAGGAGGAGAGCAGGAGGAGGAGCAGGGGAGGGCAGGAGGAGGAGAGGAGGAGGAGGAGGAGGAGAGAGGAGGAGCAGGAGGAGGAGGGAGCGATGGGAGGAGGAGGAGGGAGGAGGAGGAGGAGGAGGAGGAGAGGAGGAGGAGGAGGGAGGAGGAGGAGGAGGAGGAGGAGGAGGAGGAGGAGGGGGAGGAGGAGGAGGAGGAGGAGGACGGTGATATGGAGGAGGAAGAGGATTTTGTTTTGAGCACTTTGGCTCCCGCTGCATGCTTAAAGCACACTGTACGTGTCTGAGAGTAAGGTGACCCCTTTCGCTTTAGGATGGAGTCCCTTACAAATCTTGTTCCAGGCGTCAGAGTTGTAAGCCGAAACTTTCTGACCTGGACAAATCTTGTTGAGAGCTGCTAGGCGGGCTCCACTAGTGTATCTCTGGCACACAGTACAAACGACAACAAACGACCCGCTCGAACAATCCAGGAGGATACACTTGTGGCTTAAATCTCTAAGCCGCCGAACATCCACTTTCAACGAATCAGAACAGTGGCCAGGGGCAGGCTCTTTGTCAGCGGCGTTGCGCGACGTCCTGAGGCACCCTTGACAACTCCAAAAACGTTGGCCCCCTCCAGGCGGCCCCAGCCACTCCCACCGATGGGGCGAAACAGGAGTGCGAGGGGCGGGAGCAGGCGCAGACCAAGATGCACGGGAGAGGTCCGTGCGCGGCCAGAGTGGCAGAAGCGCTGCGCACAGTTTGACCGCCATTAGAGCCGAATTCACAAGAGCCGAGCATTCGTTAGCTACCTCCTCCGACGGCGCCTGATGGGAGTCTGCCCCCAACCTGGCGGCCCTGTCGGCGAAGTCGTTCCCGATCCTTCGAAACCGCTCATCGTCGTCGATCTCGGGATCATCGATGGGAAGGTGCGCGGGCACTTTCTCACATCCAAGCGTCCATTTTCCCCCCAGAGCACGACCCTGCGTCACAAGCCCCGAATATGGACGCTTGGGAGAAAGCTGCTCATGTCGGGCCATGCCGTGCATGGAAACTACAGTTAGGCAATCTGAATACAGTATTGCTGGTGCAGACAGGAAAGCGCAAGCCATGACATATGCCGAGAATTCTCCAGCCTGTGGTGTCTGCGGGCAGCTGTCCCATACGGGGCCTCAGCTCCAGGCTAAGAGGTTCGACTGAGGGCCTATCATAGCTAAGCCCCATCCTGCGCGATTCGAGCTGCGGACAACCCGTCGCGAGCACGAGCCATCTGAGAAAACGTGGCCCCACATCTGTCGTCGGCCATCGCGGGGCATCTCCATGCCTTCCGCAGCGAAGCCGCCAGGAAAAAAAAAAAAAAACTGAAACTGGATACCATCATCCTCCTCGGATTTACTGTCGGACTTAGGGGGCGGGAGCACACGCTGGGGGTGGCCAAACAAGCCAGAGGTAAGGTGGAACCGTTCTTTCTCAGGTACTGCCTCGAACTGCCTCAAAACCTGCTCCAGCGAACTGTTAGGAATCACCGCCCTCCTCTCCTCCTCCACCGCCGTGCACGCATACAGCCGATGAAAGATCGTGTCTCCAGGCTGATGGCATAGCGGGCAACGATCCTCTACTTCGCAACCTGCTGCTCGTGCGCTGGCGTAGGGCCAAATTCCTTGACAGGCACAGCGACGGATGGTTCCTTTCTGGCGAGCCGTAAACTTCTTCGAACGCAGAGCTTTGATGACGACGTCAAAACATAAAGACTCGGCCCCATCGGGGCCGTACTTGTTGGCCGCTTCCCTTTCCAAAGAACACCAAACCCCCTCTTTGAGGAAAACCTGGAGGAGGGAAGGAGGAGTGAGCGTGAGCGAGTGCTCAGCCCCCAAGTCGCTGATCATAACAAAGGGCGAGGGCAGGCTCCATCTCAGGCGTGCCAATGAAAGTTCCATGGCCCCGATGGGCCCGCCCACGGTCCGCCAGGTACACGAACGCCCGAAAACATCGTGCCACATGTTTCGGAGCTCGGCCCAGGTAGCACAAACTTCAGTGACCCTCGTGGCACGAGCCCAGAGTTCCTTGGCCCACCTGGTGGCTGGCGCCACAGCACCCCACCAAGCGGGATCGCCTTCGATCCTGCTGAGAATGGTTAAACTTCGGCCGCCGCAGGCAGGCTTCATCGTGGAGGCACACATGCGTCTAACTTTGGTTAACTCTCCATCACTGACACCGTGAACCTCCGCCCCATAATTCACACCCGCCAGAGGTCCCGCTGTGCAAAGCTTGGTAGCCCTCGGTCCTAGAACTCCTCTTTGACGAGCCAGCCTGCCTGCACGCCTAGAGGCTCTCGCAAAGCGCGTCTTCGCTCTGCTGTTGCGCCCTCGGACTCGCCTGGCACAGCCTGCAGTGTCATCAACCCCCAAATTGACGAAAGACTCAGTGAAAACTCCTCCAAGCCCCCCCCAGTCGTTTCTGGGCATGTCTAGCGATTTCCTTAGACGACGCGACCGACCCGACCTTGTCAGGGGAAACTTGCGCAAAAAGAACATTCTCAATGATCTCCTCAAGGGACTTAGCCGCTCTCGGCAGTTCTCTCATGATGTGCCTAGTGGTCCCGATCGCATTAATCCCGAGGTCGTCACTGTAAGCATCGAACGTGAGCCCCTTGGGGACCTCCAGTTGATCGAAGCCACGCAGGGCAAGGATCCTGATCATAGTGGTAGCAAAACTGCACCCCGCTATGATTCCAACCCTCGCCTAGGTAGGAGGCGCCACCACTCCAGCTAGCACCAGGAAGCGGGCAGAACGGTATCCCGCCATGCACACATCGGCGAGCGCATCTGGGAAGCCGCGTTGCCTGCATCGAAGAGCCAGAAGTTCTAGAGGGATGCGCTCGTAATACTTGATAAAGTCCCAGAGGAGAGTACAGGCCTGCTGCCCGCAGGCTCGGGGGGACTCCGAACGGGCGGCCTGCCGCCAAACAACATCGCAAGCAGACTTGAATTTTCCCGCCGCCCAATACTCTCTCTGGTGTTTCCCTTCCCACTCAACCGCGTAATCTCTCCTGCATTTCCCCCGTAATCTGCACAGGCTAGGACAGACCCCGATGGGGCGGAAGCCAGTGGAGGGCTTCGGCAGCATAGCAATAATCACGGCCTCCAGCTGCGGGGGAAGGGCGCCCGCGAGTTCCATCAACGTGAAAAGACGCGAGAGGGCCCACAAGGCCCCGTCGGACAGGACCGAAAAGTGTCAAGTGAAACCCATCCAGGCCTGTGGCAGACCTGTGGGCAATAGTGCGAGAAACCTTACGGATAGCGTCCACCGAAATAGAAGGGAGGGGAGCATTCACTTTCCCTGGCCTTTTCTGAGGTAAAGGCAGCCCTTCCCACAAATAGCGAAAACGATCAGCTTCGGCGGCCAGGAGCGCCTGCGGGTCCGACGCCACGCAGCCTCCAGCGCTAAGAGTAGTAGATGGCGACCATCCTGGAGGGTCTTTCGTGTAGCAGTGCGCCCTACGGCCACCCTGATCGACATTCTCAGTCAGCCAGTCCGCCCAATCACGTCTGGCCTTGGCTGCGTAGAAGGCGCTACACTGCGAGACAAAATCGGTAACCTGGGTTGAGACCTCTTCGACTTGGGCTGTCAAAACCTCCTGAGCCTCCAAGAAGCTAGGATCGGAGCCTGACCCTTCCAGAGGGTCTTCCAAAACCTTGAGGTCCGAAATCACCGAGGAAACGCTTCCCAAAACCGCTTCGATCCCAGGGAACAGGTTGTCGGGCCTACACAAACTTGGGGGGGGGAGACGACAAAACACGCCCCACTTCCCGAGCCTGAGGCCAATCCCCCCGCTGCACACAGGAGAGAAGACGTTTAAACTTCGAAGCGAGCCAGCGGCAGGCGTGGAGCTGGGGGTATCGCACGCAACCGTGATCTTTACTAAGGATCGGCCTCCAATGAGTCTTGGGCCCCATGCCCCTAGACCCCAAAACTGGAAGTTGAACCCCGAAAGTCCTTGAAAGTTCCCGTTCAGCAAGGCCCGCCCAAGACGCGTAAGCTTCGCGAAATAGGCGAGCAGTCATGACCCCATCGCCCCCTCGCTTCGCTCGAATGAAAACCGCGTCCAGCTGGGCACGCACGCGCTTAAAGTCAATCGGCTCAGGCTGTGGACCAAAGGGTACTTCCGATGGGAGAAGAGGCGGGCGTCTGAATGCGAGGTAGTGCATCTGGGCCAGTCCTGCATGGAAATCGAGGCAGACTGGGCTGTGCGGAAAGAAACCAGCGTCCTCGATTATGCGAACTTCGGCGGCGCCCTTGGAGAGCCCAGCAGATACAACGAAGTAGTCGTAAACTTTGCCCGCGCCAGCGTGACAGGTAGGCTTGCTGGGGTCGATGACTTGACCAACCAGGGTGCTCGCGAATTGGGACTTGGCGAATCCGGATGGCTCCATGTTCCAATCTCCCCCGACAAGGAATGGTTTCCCGCAGGTGGACCCTTCCGCCCCTATCGCCGACAGTATCTCGAGGTTAGCTTCCGAGAGCCCTTCCGAGTCGCGCATATACACAAAACAAACTTGAAACACGCCCCCTTGGGGCGCGTGCACCAGGGCCGCGATGGCCCCATGGGGGGCCAGCTCGAGCCCCGAGGGCGCCCGATGAAGCCCGAGATTCGCGCGACACAGGATCGAGACTCCCGCAGAAGGGCCGCCTTCGGGCCCAGTCGTGCCAGGGACCCAAAGCGATTTGAAACCGAGGCCGAGACAAACAGAGGAAGCTCTATCCAAAGCCTCTTGAGTCAAAAGCTTGTGCTCTTGGACTAGAAGGACTTCAGCATCTACACTAGGGAGCCACTCCTTCACCGACCCCCAAGCATTACCGTTGACCGACACGACCCTGGGACGGAACGACTGGTGGCCTGGAGGTGGCGGGGGCAAAAAGGGGCCTCCAAGAGCGGTGCCCGAGTGCCCTGGCTCCGAGAGGATACCACCCCTGGCTCGCGCGTTGTGACAAATATTTCGAGGCAAAACAGGAAGAAGTTGGGCACGAGGAGGAGGGGTCCTGACAGCCTGCGCGCGCTGTCGACCTCCCCCAGAAAAAACCGAACTGGAACACCTGTCAGGTGTTGCAAACATAGAAAAGTAAAATCCCCCCCTTCAGGCCTGTTGATGACCGTCAGGGGGGCTGCGATTGTGCTGCTCACTGTGCCGCTCGCCCGAGCCGCTGCTCTCAGGAGCCGCCTGCTGCTGCTGAACACGCTCCGCAACACGTGCTGCATGTTCGCGAACTCGGCTGACTTGGGCGGCTGGCTGGCTGACGTCGCTGGCCGAAGCGTCGCCGCTGCCAGAGGCGCCGCCAGCATGTGGCCCAGCTGCTTCAGCGCCCCCTTCACGAGCTCCGCCCCCAGCCGACACGGCTCCATCGCAACCCTTCCTGCGCTTGGTGGCCATGCGCTTGAGGTTCCCGTCGTGCACGGCTTTGGCGACTGCCGCGCGCTCCATCGCTTCGGCGAAGAGGGCCTTGGCTGCCTTGCCGATATGCCCCTTGAAATCAGCCCGACGCCGCTCCACCTCTTTGAGATCCGAGTCCTCCATGCCGTCAGCATCGACTGAGAAGAGGCCCCCGTCGTCGATGACGATGTTGGAGACTCGCCCGTCCACGAGGTCACGAAGTGACAAGGTGGGCCCAGGCGTGGGCTCTGTGTCGGCCGAGGGAGGAACAACTGCACTGTGAAGCTGCGCAACCAGTTGCCGATGTTCTGTGACCATGGCCTCGGACTGCTTCGACAAATCATGGATGAGAATCTCCTGCGCCCTGATGCCGTCCTGCCACCTCGCCAGCTTCGCCAGCTCGGCCTCCAGCCTGCCGTCGAGCTTCTTGATGCGGTGGTGCAGGTCGCTGACCTGGTCCTGCAGTGCCTTTGGCGGCGGCTTCGAGGCTGCAGCCATGGAGTCCAGCTGGCCCTGGTACCTGGCCGCTGTGGCTTGGTCACCTGCGCGGCGCGCCAGGGCGACCAGCATCTGGAGCTCCTTTGCATCCAGAGGGACGTCCTGCTCTCGGCTGCCGCTGCCCGTGCCTTGCGCCGCGCCGCCAAGCTGAGGTCCAGGCGGGAGGGCAGCCCACTCTCCTGGGGGGTGATACCCAGGCGCACGAGGCAGGCCCTGCTGATGAGACCACACGCCACGAGGAGGAGCATGTTGGCTGACCGTGGGGGCCTGCCTCGGTGCACCGCAGTGCTTGCAGTGCGTCGCCCAGACGGTGGTCTTGCCGCAACCGCATGCCACGCACTTCCAGCAGTCGCTCCTGCCAGCCGTGCCGTAGCCTTTGCCTCCAGACCACTGGGCGCCTCCGTAGTCGTAGTAACTCCAGTCCTGCCGCTGCCAGCCCTTGGAGCCGCTGCCGCGCCACGGGGGAGGGGTGCCTCCCTGTCCGCCGCCGCCGCCGCCGCCCTTGCAGGGGCCATGGGACATCAGTCTGACTGGGGAAAGATTGACGAGAAAGTTAAGAAGCCAAAATTGACCCGCGGATCCCTTGCCGTTCTGAAGAGAGGATCCGCAAGCGCTCACCTGCGCCAGAACGGCTTGAGCCAAAATGGCTTGAGCCAAAATGGCTACGGAGGAGGAGGAAGAGGAGGAGGAGGAGGAGCAGGAGGAGGAGGAGGAAGAGGAGGAGGAGGAGGAGGAGGGAGGAGGAGGAGGAGGCCGGAAATCCGCCGACCCTGTCGGCGTGTGTGAGGGGCTTGTCCGTTCAAGTCGTCATCTCCGTCATTCGTTGGTCGTCGTCTCTGTCGTCCCCTTTCCCTGCCTCCCCCCTTTCCCTGGGCTCGTCGAAGCTCCCCCCTTTCCCAGAGACCTCCTCAGGTCGGCGGGGGGGGAGGGGAAGAAGGAGGAGGAGGCTGGAACTAGAGGATCAGCATGGATAAGGACCTTTTCCACACCGGATCCGCTGGCCCCCCTGGTGGGGCCACCGGGCTGTAGGCCCAAGTTTGCTGCTCCTAGTTGCAATCTCAAGCCTCTAATGTTACAGTCCTGCTTTCTGCTTCCTACTGTAAGTAACTGAAATCCGCGCGAAGGGGAAATTGAAAAATTACCACGGCCGGATCCGGGGGGCGTGGGACACGTGAGACTCGCGCCCCCGACGCCATAATCCCCAGTAAACTACACACTGTCCGCGCCCCCGAAGCCACAAACCCTCGTTAATTAGACAAATGCTGCGTCCCCGAAGCAACACACCCTCGTAAATTACCCAATCGTCGCATCCCCGAAGCCAGAAACCTTAGCACATTACGCTGTATTTCAATCGCCGAACCACACATGCTCCAAGGCGCCCGAAAATGTTTCCAAAACGGCCCTAGAGGGCCCCAAGAGCGTCCAAGAGGCCTCCCGAGAGCCCCACAAGGCCCAAATCGTCGATGTTACGCAACTGTGTATATATATATATATATATATATATATATATATGTACACGTACATACATTGCCGTGACAAAAGTACTATGCGGCCTTCATTCAACATGACTCAAGACTGGCGGAGTAAACGCAGTGGGCGGAGTAGAAATTACTCCGCGTGGACATGTATCCCGTCCCATTTTTCATATAGGAATGGGCGGAGTAATTTCCGATCCTGTTTTGAGATAGCAATGTTATTAATCCCACCAGCCCTCTCGGGGCGACTGGGAAGTCTCTTCGGCCATTTTTGTTTCTCCATGGCCAAGCGCCAAGAAGTCCAACGATGCCCTGGGGATCCTCATCCGCACCAGTCGTGCGCGACGCTCGTGCAGCAACAGTCGATGGCGCTCGGCCTCGGGCACTCGCGCGCGTGCCGCGGCCAAGCCTGCGAATGCATCCACGAATGCATTTCCGAGAATCAACTGCCCAAACCATGCGGAAGGCAAGGACGAAAAGTCTTCGCACGTGAGACAACCATGTCGGCTGGCAGTCTACCAGTGGCCCTCCACCCAGTTCTTCAGGCAATGACGCACAGCAACTTGTAAGTGTGAAATGTGGTAATCTGAGAGCGGTACCCACTGTAGGTCCTTGATGAAATGATCTTGGTCTTCGGCTTTCTCGTAATCCTCAACGTTCACGCTGTTATCGTTGAGGAGATCGATCAATGGGATGTCATAGACGTTGAAACTGCCCAGCTTGTTCATCCTGGCCACGTCTTCGTTGATGCGCCAGTGCACCTGACTTTGCAAATCTCTGAACGTCGTGATGTGGTGCACGCAATGCCTTCGGGCCGAAAACAAAGTGTTGGCCATCGCTGCGCCGTGGTAGCCGATGATCTCCGCGGCCCGGGTGAACATCCTCACAGTATCAACGACGCTTTCGTTTCCGTAGTACACTGTGAGTGGCAGGTCTGCCTTGCCCAATTTCGTACCACTCATCGAGCCCTTCAACTTCGCCAAATCGGCGTCGTGAAATAAACGCGTGCTCGATGGATCCCCAGGAGCTTGCCTGCGATGGATGATGACGAACTGCGGCGAAAAATCACCGTCCTTTTCAACAAATGCGGAGAAGTCGCGCTGCATCCAGTTCAAGTTCATGTTGAGGTCGATGGAATAGGAGCGGACCATGTTCTGGTCCAGTCCGAACTGATCCAAGTAGGACTGCTGCGCGCCCATGAGGTAAGTCCGGTAGCCGGCATGGTACCGCAGCCCGCTCGCACAGCTGTCCTTCTCGTCGACGAGGGAGTGCCACTTGATGCCGACCACGTCCCCCAAGAAGCTGCGCAGGTCCATGCCGAGCGGCTCCGTCCACGTGAGCGCGCAGATCTGGGCGTCGGGCCGACTGCTCGCGGCCGTGCGGGCAAGCTGGATCATACCGTACATGGTCAGCAGGCAATCTGTGATGCGGTGGCAAGCCGCGTAGCGACCCGCCCGCATGCCCTCGCACCGCAAGTCGACCGTGAAGTCGCAGCCGGAGCATTCGTCGCGGCCCGCGGAGACGACCCACGGATCCGTGGCGTTGTCGATGGTGGCGAGCTGCACCCCGTTGCCCGGGCTGGGGTCGGCGATTCGGTCACCGGCCCCCACGCCCCATGCGGCCCGCAGCAGGTCATTCAGCTCCGACTGCCACCACGGCTCGAGAGTGGCCGTGGATAGCACGAGAGCGGCTGCGTGCGGCACGCCGAGGATCACCAGGAGGGGGCCCACGAAGACGCTGAAGGACGCCTTCTTGGAAGCCATGCGTAAAACAATCGAGATTCAGTACTCGTGGATTCGAGAGGCTCTGGAAAACGAGGCCTTGAGCCAAAATGGCTACTCCAGATTTCGTAATAAAAGGGAGGGGGTCTGGACCCTCCAAGACAAGCCATTTCAGACCTCCCCCGTGGGAGAACCCTCCAAAACATCGTCCCCAGACGCCCCAAGGCCCTCCAAGATAGCCTGGAAGAGACCCCCCCCCGAAATGAGACCCCCCTCCCTTTATTACGAAATCTGGATACGGAGGAAAATCTCATGGGCCATCTTGGGCGAGGCCAGGGGGCCGCCGGAGGAGCGTCCCTGGAGGCCCTCCTGGGCCGTCTTGGGGCCGTCTCAGCCGTCCTGGGGCGTCCTTGGGCGCCTCTTGGGGCTCTTTGACCGCTCCGATGTCCAAGGGAGCTGATATCCTAAAAATGTACGTTTTACGCATTGAATGGGGCCATTTTGGTCTCCCGGGGCGCTCATGGGGGGCCTCTTGGCCCTTCTGGAAGCGATCTTTGGCGGTCTGGAAGCGATCCTGGGGTTCTCTCGGCACTGTTGGAGCCTTCTTGGGCGGACTGGAACGCGCGGGGGCCGCTGGAGGGGCGTCCCGGGAGGAGGCCACTACCTATGTACAAGGGGGGTTCCGGCCTGGGGCCCAGGGCCCGGGAACTCCCATGTATGTGTGTGTGTATATATATATATGTGTGTATACTCACCTTTTCGCATGTTCGGCTTTCCGACGCTCCAAGACAGCTCAAGAAACTCTCAAAACCGCCCCAAGACAGCCGAAGAGGCCTCCAAGAGGGCCCCAAGACGGCCCAAGAGGGCTCCAAGATGGCCCGAGAAGCGCTCAAGACGGCCCAAGAGGGCCCCCAGACGGCCCCGAGAGGGGCCCAAGCAGGGGACCACACACCGAACTTTCTATATCAGTGCCCCGAGACGACCCCTGGAGGCCCCAAGAGGACGAGGCCCCAAGAGACCCCAAGAGGCGCCCAAGAGGCCTCCAAGATGCCCAAAAGGATACCCCACGAGGCCCCCAAAGGCCCCAAGAAGCACCCAAACGGCCTCCAAAGAAGCCCCCGAGAGGCTCTCCACGACAGCCCAACACATATACAAGAGGCCTCAGAGCTACAACCCAGGCGCGGTGGTGGTATGGGCAGAAGACCACTCGGATCCGCCGCCCCATGTCGATTCATCGCAGGGGTGCCTGGCGTGCTGAACCCTGTCGGTTTTGGTTTGGTACTTTTTCCAAAAGAACTCATCCTGGGGCTTCGGCCCGTCCCGCCAGGGTCCCAGGAGGCTCTTCCAGGAGCTCAATTCCCCCCAGAATCCTCCAAGACAGTTCAAGATGGTCTCCACGATGGCCACGTTGGCCCAAGATGGCCTCCAAGATGGTCCCAGATGGCCTCCAAGTCCGCCGAAGATGATCCAAGACGGCCTCCAAGACAGCCTCAGAGAGTCCAAGATAACCCCAAGTTCGCCCAAGAAGCCTCCAAGACGCCTACGAGACGGCCCAAGAGGCCTCCAAGAGGTCCTCCAGGAGGGCCCGAAGAGGTCAAAATCATTGATTTGCCCTTGGTTTTTGAAGGATTTGGGAATTTGCTTCGTCTAAGCATTCCGACGGCTCAAGACGGCCCACGAGGCCCCCAAGATCGCCCAAGAGGCCCTCACGAGGGCCCAAGAGGCCTCCAAGACGTCCCCAAGAGGGCCCCAAGACGGCCCAAGAGGCCTCCAACACGCCCAAGATGGCCTTCAAAAAACCCAAGATGGCCTCCAAGACGGCCCCGAAGCGGCCCAAGAGGGCCCCAAATTGGCCAAGAAAGGCCCCCAATACGGCTCCCGACGGCGCCAGACATGCCAGGAACTCGAAGCTGGCCCAAGACGGCCTAAGAGGCCTCCAAGAGGGCCTCCAGGAAGGCCAGAAGAGGCGAAAAAAATGTATTGTCCGTAGGTTGTTGAAGGATTGTGGCATGTGTTTCTTGTCGGCCTTCCGACGGCCCGAGGCGGCCCCAAAACACCCAAAGATCGCCCAAACATCGCCCAAGATGCCTCCAATTTGGCCCCAGAACGGCCCAAGAGGCCCCCAAGACGGCCCCAAGAGGCCCTCAAGACGGCCCAGGAGGCCTTGAAGACGCCCAGGATGGCCTCCAAGACGGCCCTGGAGCATTCCAGGAGGGCCCCACGTCGGCCTAGAAATGCCCCCCAAACGGCTTCCGACGGCGTCAGACGGACCAGGGGCCCACCAAGATGGCCGAACATGGCCGTAAGATGGCCCAGGACGTCCAACAGGCCTCCAAGAGGGCCTCCAGGAAGGCCCGAAAAGGCCAAAATCGCATATTTCCCATGAGTTGTTGAAAGATTGTGGCATTTGTTATGTTTCGGCCTTCCGACGGCCCGAGACGGCCCAAATGCTCCAAAAAATCGCCCAAGAGGCCCAAGACGGCCACACAATGCCCCCTAAGACGACCCAAGAGGCCTCCAAGACGCTCAAGGCCCGCAAGACGGCCCAAAAGCCCTCCAAGACGTCCTCCAAGAAGGCCCGAAGGGGTCAAAATGGCCTCCAAACGGCCAAGATGACCTTCAAGATGCCAGCGTGTTCCCCGAAGGCTTTTTCCAAATCGACTCGGGGAACACATGGTCCGATAGCTTGGCAGGTCTGGCCTCGACGTTCGGCCACATAGGCGCTTCCAAAAAGGCAGGGGGCGGCGGTGATTCGCCGTGGGCGTCTTCGATAACGCCAACGTCTCGATATGCGCAGCTGATTACTATCCGCCCCTGCGTGATCCCAGATGCGCCAAGGCAGCGCCGAGACGCGCCGAAGCGACTGTGATGTCCCAGGCTGAAGGAGAGGGGGCTGGCTGCAGGGAACGAAGTCCTTGCGGACACGGGAAATAGAATGAGCGAGAACGACGGGCACGGGGAAGCAGGATGAAACGACAGCGGGATACATTGCCGTGACAAAAGTATTATGTGGTCTTCATTCAACATGGCTCAAGACTAGCGGAGTAAACGGAATGGGCGGAGTAGAAATGACTCCGCGTGGACATGCATCCCGTCCCATTTTTCATATAGGAATGTGCGGAGTAATTTCCGATCCTGTTTTAAGATAACAATGTTATTAATTAGAGGTAGACGAATTACTCCGCGAGATCGCGGAAGACGCATGTCAATGTCAGGAATCTTCAGAGGGATCGGAGATTCCAACATATCATAAAACCACATAATATTTCGTCACCGCGGTGTACAAACGTTTATGTATATATGCATATATGTATATATATATATGCACATAGACATACATGTATACACATACATAATCATATACACGCATATATATATATATATATATATATATATATATATATATGTATACATATATATACACACATATATATATACATATATACATAAACATACACAGTAGAACCACGCGCGCTTCGCGCGCGCTTAGTCTCTAGCTAGGCTTCACGGTCGAACTTGGAAGACCTCTCTTTTGTGGCCAATCCCTCTGGGGAGCCCAAGAACTACGCCAACGGCTCAAGTGACTTCCAAGACCTCCTGAGGCCATTCCGCAGCGACCTAAGAATGGGCCAAGAAAGCATCGTCGTCGTCGTATAGCTGTGTATGTTCGGATCCGCAAGAAGACCTTTCCGGACCCCATTGGGAGACCTCTTGGAGGCCGTCCTATCCGTTTTGAACAATCTTGGGGCCTCGTTTGGGCCTCTTGGGGGTCTCTTGGGGACCCCTTGGGTCCTCTTAGGGACTCTTGGGGCCTCCTGGGAGGTTCTTTGGGCGGACGGGTGCTACTTTCGAGTCGGAATTCCCCTCTTGGACCCCTCCTGGAGCCGTCTTAGTCGGCCCTTGGGCCGTCTTGGCGCCCTTTCGGCTATCTGTGGGGCCTCTTGGGAGCGTCTTCGGTTCGCTTGGGGAAGTCTTGGGGGCCTCTTGGACCGTCTTCAAAGCCATGAAAGTCCCAAAATCGCACATGCTTAAAATGTACGTTTCGCCTACAGGAATGTAACGAATTTGGCCTCTAAGGATCTTCTTGGGAGTGCTCTTGGAAGCCTTTTGGGACGTCTCGGAGCCTTCTTGGACCTTCTTGGGGCCATCTTAGGCAGTCTTGAGCGACTCGGGGCCTTCTTGGGCCTTCTTGGGGCCCGTTTTGGGGCTAACTTGGGCAGTCTTGGGCAGCCCTTGGGCCGTTTTGGCCCTCTTGTGGGCTGTCTTGAGGGCCTCTTGGGAATGTCTCAGGCTCTCTTGGGCAAGTCTGGGGAACCTTTTGGGCCGTCTTCAAAGCCGTGAAGGCCGACAAGTCGCATATGAACAACATGCACGTTTTCCCTTATGAATTCAACGATTGTGGTTTCTTGGGGCCGTCTTGGGCGCCGTCTTGGGGCCAACTTGTTCGTCTCAGGCAGCCCTTGGGCCGTCTTGGCGCCCTCGTGGGCTGGCTCGGGGGCCTCTTGGGAACGTCTTGGGCTGTCTTGAGGAAATATTTTAAGACTCTTGGACAGTCGTGAAAGCCGCGAACGCTGAAAAGTCGTACATGCTAAAAATGTACGTTCCCCCACAGGAATTTCATGATTTGGGTCTCTTGGGCCCCTCTCGGGAGTGCTCTGGGAGTACTCCTGGGCCGTTTTGGGCAGCTCGGGGCCTTCTTGCGCCGTCTTGGGGGCCTCTTGGAACCCTCTTGGCTCGTTTGGCACCCTCTGACCCTCTCCGGGCCGCCTCTGGGAGCGAAACGGGGGGGGTATCAGCGGGCTTCCCCCGATGGTTGCGGGGTGGGCTGGCCCAGGCCGGGGGGGGCCTATTCATTTATATGATGTGTGTTTGGGGCTGTCCTAGACCGTCTTGGGGCGTTCTTGGGCGCCTCTTCGGGCCTTCTGGGGGCTCTTCTAAAAATATATGTTGTACGAAAAGACTGGGGCCAGTTTTGTCTCCCGGGGCTCTCTTCGAGGGCCTCTTGGAGCCTTCGTGGGGCGTCTTGAGGGCCTCGTGGCCCTTCTGGAAGCCGTCTTGGGCCGTATCGGAGCGCTCCTGGGGCCCTCTCGGGGCGACTGGGAAGTCTCTTCGGCCATTTTTGTTTCTCCATGGCCAAGCGCCAAGAAGTCCAACGATGCCCTGGGGATCCTCATCCGCACCAGTCGTGCGCGACGCTCGTGCAGCAACAGTCGATGGCGCTCGGCCTCGGGCACTCGCGCGCGTGCCGCGG